TCTCTCTCTCTCTCTCTCTCTCTCTCTCTCTCTCTCTCTCTCTCTTTCTTTCTCGCGCGCGCGCGCGCCTTGCGTCTCTGTACTGTTATATCTTATTTAATATTCGACGTGTATAGAGTCGTACTAACTTGAACACGACGGAGAGAGAGTATTTAGATCTGAAAAATTAAACACCGCTGCACAACGGACGATTCACCAGACGACGACCCCTCCGCGACAAATGTGATTTCCCACTCGACTCGATGGCTGTCCCAAACCCGACAGGCATCTCAAGCTGGGTATGCACTGAGAGAACGAACAACCAGCAAACATGATACATTTGTGCACAAACTTTCTTCGATAAACTACACTATGAGCGAATCGGCGCGAATACGAACAAGACGTTCTGTTCAGAGGAATTCGTCAGATTAAGCACACTGTTGTTTAATCGTAAAACGGAAGTTTGCAATCGTTGCTCGCTCGTTGTTCGTTCGCCCGGTGTATAACCTAGCTTCACACACACACATACAGCACAGCACTTGTCGATTCGAACGTCGGGCGTAACCGATTTAACGCGGAAACGCGCGACGAATCCGAGAACGGACTCTCTTACCTGCGTTCTTGTAGGAGTAATACTTGAAAATACTGGTTCTCCGACCGGTCTCCGACTGTTCCATCTCCGACGGCACACGTGGACTTTCCAAGGAACCTTCCGGCGCGCCCCGCTCGCCCGCGGCCGCATTTTCGTTCTCGTCCTCCGTCGCATTTCCGTTCGGATCTTCGCGCTCCATGAGTTAACAGCCCGCGCCGACGTGTCGCCGCCGTTCGCAGGTGTCGGTTCGGGTTACGATCGGCACAGCGCGCGGTAATTTTTTTTCGTTCTCCTCGTTACGGTGATCGTCCAGCTGCTTGTGGTTGCGCGCGCGCGCGCGCGTGAATTCCTCCTTCTCGGCACGGCGTGTAGCGGTGACGCGTCGCTCTAAAATCTTCAGGAAAAACGAGATTATCTCGAACTGCCGGCGGCACCGCACTAATCGAACATGTAACGTAAGCGCGCCACGCACGCTCGTTCGAGGGAATGCGAGAGGCCGCCGGGCGACCTGTCCGGTCTCTCCGCCGTCGCCTCACCCGTCGACTCGCTCCCCGCACTCCTCGCCGCGCGCGTTTTTTCACGCGTACTTATAACGTACTCGCGAGTGATCGCATGTGTCGTGGTCACAGTCGGAGCCCGAATTAGCCATACATAGCCGTGCGAAGTCGAGACTTTCCTTATCCTACTGAATTTTATAAGACCTGTTCGAGGAACTTTCCGAACTGTGGTGTACACCGATGCAAATTCGAGTGAATCAAACTTGTTTCACTCGAACTTGTTGCATCAGTGTACACGGATTCAAGAAATTCTCCCAAAAAGAACAGACCTTCGGTCTGTTCCTGCACTAGCTCGCACTGTTTCTATTCTCCTCCGTTTTCCATCGAGTCTCAACCGTATACATACTTCCTTTTTAAGTTTCATAAGTGTATACTGCAGAGTTCAGCCGAAATAGGACAGATTTCTGTACCGCACCTTCTTGTCACGTTCACCCGCGCGCGGTCAACGTTCCCTTACGTTCTATTTGACAATACGTTCGCTACGTGACTCGGGAAAAAATCGCCCTCCGACCGGGTAGTGTCAGTCGTGAAAATACAATGCCCTACAAATAGGACGTGTCGTACAGTCAAAAGTCGCGATATTTTTTCCCCAACAAATACAGCGCACACGTATCCAATAGAAGTTTGCTTTTTTTAGGATATCTTTCTGAGAATAGACTCTCCTATTGGATGCCAACGGCTTCCTAAGGTTAGCCGAGGTTAAAGCGCTGCAACCTTTCTGCCATCGACTGTACTTAGCAACATTTAAACGAATGCAAAATACCTCGGTAGAAGTTTGCTGTAAAGAAAGGAAGATGTTATTAGTAAACAAACGAAGACCTTCAACTGTGCAACGCACAACGTGACTAGCATGTTCTGAGTGAAACGTTCTGTTGTACGTTGATACGACGCTCTTCGCGTATTTCGCGTAATGTGCTTGAACTCACGATCGTGCATTTAAAAAAAATTTTACCGGATCTGTTGAAATTTGGACTTTGAGATGAACAAGATACGTGTGTCATGATACGCTAACGTCACTCACGAATACCAGTGAAAAACCTCACCGATAGCGATTATTCATGATTAATATGTCGGATGTTCGACGATAAGCGTATTTGATTGATGTCTTGTCGAAAAAAACCGAAATTTCATCATTCCACAGCGGATATGTCAAAACTTTTGCGAATGAAATGTTAAAAATTAAAATATTTTTTTATTTTGTGTTCCCTTGGCTTCAACAAAACGCATATATCGGCAAAGGAATGACTCTAAAGATGACGATATGGAAATTTTGTAAATATATTGAACGAATCCATGACACGTATAATTTAAAAGTATTATTTTATGCGTGAATAAAAAAATATTCTCGTTCTTTCCAAATCTTTGGTTTCAGTTTGAAAGCAGTCATCTGATATATGCGCATACATATACGATAAATTGCTAATAATACGGTTTTCAAGTGCGTCTACATGAGAAGCTCGAGGAAATGCTGAGCATGTATAAATTACTTCGTATCGTAAAGTCAAGTTTTTATAGAGACGAGAAAATATAGTTTTATTTTAGTTCTCGCTAAACGATAACGTTTTTGATTCTCGAAATACATCTATCACTAAACGATCGCACTTTGTCCTCTTGCGTCACAATCGTTATATAAATAATGCATCACTCAATGGGAACAAAATACAACTCTCTGTTGATAAATATACACACTAAGTTTTCTCTCATGTCGTCTATCAATCAATCACTTCGAGAAATCTGTCTTTATTATACTGAAGAACATTTAATAAACAAGTATATATCTTTCGTATATATTAATTTTTTAACTGCACATTTTGTTTAGCTGTGGCGTATATCATTCGAGAATCATTCGTACTCCAAGTGCTCTGTGCAAGGCATTTGTTTGTGAATTGTTTAACTAAAAATAATAAAATAGTATAATATTTTTTGATATTCATTTATTTCGTTCGTTATCATGCAACGCATGACAATATTTGGCAATATATCGGGATTCAATAAGAAAATAAATATGTTCAAAGTTAAGCTAAAGCGCATATATACTGCAACTAAAAAGTTAATAATTAAAAAAAAAATCTCGCTCTATAGATAACTAAATCTTTAAAAGAAATATTATGGCAAAAGAGATAGTCGTCGTCACTTCCTCAGTAGAGTTTTAAGCAAAGGACAATTGATTCCGATACACGCTGTTTTGGCGGTACGTGAGTACTAGACATGATGTGGTCTGTAAATAGGCCGCATGATGCGTAGGTTTTTACCCGGGAAGTATCGGACTACCCGAGAACTCTAGTTACGACTCGTCCTTATATACTGATCATCTGGTACACAAGTGCTATCGAGAAACGTCAGAGCTATACATCCCAAACCATGTGCTCAACTTTAATCCTCAAAGGGTCATTACCATCAAATTCAATAAGAAAAAATCTGAAGCACAGCTATAACATGCATCAATCTAGATCCAAATATTTTTTTAATGTAACATTTGTAATTATTCGACAAGACGACCGCTATAAGGTAGAAAGCAGCAGCCACCTAGCGGACGAGAGCCCGAACTAACAGCGTAGTAGCTGCGCCGGTCGAGCCACGTGCTACGGAAGTTCAGCGGTCATTATGTCACTTGCGGTAAGAACACGCGAAGTTGCGCGCATGCCGCGAGCAAGTTCGTCGCGAAGCGCGGGAGTGCAGAATTACGAGTCCTCGAGCGAGGGGGACACGGTGAGAGTCGCTTAAATGGCAAAGTTCACAGAGCAGCGGACGAGAATAGTCGTACTTCCCAGTGATAATACTCACGTTCAGCTGCCGTGAATGACGGCCGGCAGGAACGAACGCAAACGCCTCCGACGATCACGACGGTCGATATTTGTGCGCGCCCGCTCGCTCGTCGGGCGTCGACGGCGCTCGCGACGAGCCGGACACAGAGCCTCGGGGTTATCGGAATGTTACACGCAACTATCGATGAACATGCGAACGATCGCGCAACGACTGAGACGCATGTCCACCGCCACTTGCCATGCTTCACTACCCGTCGCACGCGCGAACCGACGACTCGTCGTCGTCTGCTGTGTCTGATGTTGCGCGCGCAATTGTCCGCATGTAACAATATAGGTCTGTTTGGTCCGCACGTATCATTCCGTTTGCTGTTTCCTTGGTCCATGCGAAACGACAACATCGACGTTCCTTTCACGAATGTCAGATCATCTACAGGACGTTTTTATGTATACAAGGAACCTCGTTGTTTGATAACCTGCTGTTAGTAAACACTGGTCTGGTTTACATCGTGCACTTGATATGCGTACTAAATAGTAATTTTCTATTAAATAATCTCAATATTAACAATGCATATCAACGACGACGCATTCAATCGATACAATACGCCTTCTTGATGAATATTATACCAGCTTAATATACTGTTGTTTATATACATCGTCGATATTAAAATTATTTAATAGAAAGTTACTATTTAGTATGCGTATCAAGTGCACTATATAAACCAAGTCATTGTGTCAAATCAGGACATATGATAATCGCAGAAGTGCGATTTTACAAATACATATAATATACTTTATCGTGGAATTGTATTGAATATTACGATAATTGTGGAGTTGTAAAATTAATATGCGTTTCGTGAATGTTACCCTCATCTAACACGGACATTATGGTTTATATCAAGGTCGTTATACATTAATCGCAAAGTGGTTCGCAACAGCGACGCTTGTTGTGACAGCTAATTAGAAGCGTAATGGCTCCTGTACACAGGACGCGGTAATGTTTGCCGCGCGGCGAAAGTTCGCGCGACAGCCAATCAATATGCTGCTTTCCGTAATAACCTTCTAGCTCTTACGGAAAAACAACATATTGATTGGCTGTCGTGCGGACTTCCGCCGCGCGGCAAGCATTACCGCGTTCTGTGTGCAGGAGCTATTAGTAGTTGACGCTTCTGATTAACTTGGGCTAAGTTCGTCTTGCACGCTTTTATGCTGAAAGCATCATTCTATCTTTATCGCTTATTATATATCAAGGGAATAGAATAACATTTTTCAGTATGAAAGCGTATAAGATAAACTTTGCATTGGAGGATGCTAAATTAGAATACTATTTTTTGTTAATTATAAAACCTTTGCTACGAAGCGCAATACTATCTTGAGTGACATAGGCCGATATTCATAGTTCGATCTTATATTTAAGATCATCTTAAGTACTGTCTTAAGATGTCATGAACCAATCACAGAGCCGTATTCGCATCTTAAGACGACTTGAAATAAGATTCGACTATGAATACCGGTCTTAGGCAAGGCTTTTTCCGCTGAACGCGCATGATGACTCTCGCATCCAGTGCAATGCGGGATGCGATACGTAATATCAGGTGCATTAGGTGCATTCAGCGAACTCAACGTTGCATAACAATTGAACGATTCGTCAATGAGCACGTTCAACAGATAAAAACGCTCAGTGAACACTCGATGTTTATTGGATTATTCTGTTGGTTCCCCATATTTAGACCAATTATGTTTACGAATTACTTAACAGTTGTACAACTGTTGTGTCTGCTGAACGCGCCCAATGTAATTGGTTTAGATTTAGGGATCTAATAGTAAGAATCAATAATCGCTGATTGCTTACTGAGCGCTTTTTTCGCTGAACGCTCCCATTTAGTACTATAATCGCTCACTGAGCGCTCAGTGAGCTCTTATATTTGATTGGTATATATTTTTAGATCTAAAAGAATATGCCAATGAGATGCAAGAGCTCACTGAGCGCTCAGTGAACGATTGTAGTACTGAATGCAACTATCCAATGAGCGTACAGCTTTTCTAAAATAGCAGTACGATCATTAAATATCACTTCGAGTCACGCGATAGTTTGGATTCAAACTATCATTTTTTAGCACCTTATAACTTTTGTTTTACTTAAGAGCCACAATTTTAATTTTCATATTCGTATTTTACGCAATAAAATACACAATATTCCGAAATTTTAGGCAAATCAGTGAAGAAGTCTCCGGCCGTGTTCCGTTTTACGCAATGTGTGCATTTATCTGTACATATTACGTATATTGTAGGCAATGCGCGCATAAAAATCGTTCTACATTAGTTGCAAACCGATCGCAAGCAGACGCAATTCTTATTGCGACAGCCAATCAGAAGTATCAATGGTGCTATTGACGCTTCTGATTGGCTGTCGTAACAACAGTTGCAATCGATTTGCAACTAATGTAGAACGACCTTTATGCATGAAACGGAACGCAACCTCCATCTCCTTGATAATTACCTAAAATGTATACTTCCAAATCGTATCATCAATATATGATATTTTACTTATGCGCTATAACTTTACAATCTTCATCAAAAATTTTATATATATATAAATATATATATAAATATATATATATATATATATATATATATATATATATATATATATATA